AGTTTGATAAATCAATGACTTTTAAAAGAAGACTATATTGAAAAGTAAGTCGCATTTTAGTAAAAAAAAAGAAAGTAAAAAGAAATCGTTGACTTATCAAACTGTTCACGTACAGTTTTGTACAATTTTTAATTTACTAAATTACATATATTAGATATACAAATAAACATAATAATTGTTCACTATTTTTTATGGAATACAATATTTATTTTGAAAAACATCGACATGATTCAATCATGAAAATAATCCATTTTTTATTATCTTCTTCCACCTTTTAGGCAAGTTATATAAATTCTGATTTGTTAAAAAGATTAGTCTTTATTTGCAAAAAATTCATGAAGCCATTTTGCTATCGACATTTCTAAAATTTTTGTCAGACTAAGATTGCGTTCCGCTGTGCTGTTCCACTTTCAACGCTAATGCGTCATTCTACCTTTATCGTTCTTTATAAGTAAAACAAGGATAGAAAGCACTGATAGCACTGAACGCGCTCCCGCAACGCAGCCTTTAGTCTGGCAAAAAATTTAGAAATGTTGCTGAAGCAAGAAAATATGATTTGATGTGTGTGAATTCATCGCAAGATTAGTTTTTCTATCGAATCGGAATCTTGCCTGAAAAGAGGAGGAAAATAATAAAAAAATTATAAAGATTACTTTCGTGACTGATCTATATCAGTATGTTTCAAAAATAAATATTAAATTTAATAAAAAAATAGTTAATTATTAATTTGTATTTGTAATTATTAATTTGTATTGTAATTATTAATTTCTAACTAATATATATAATACATATTATATTGTATATATAGAGAAAGCCCCTATTGTGAGATAGGCATTTTTTCAAAATGAGATAGGCGTCTAATATGAGATAACAGCGTTTTCGCTAAACTAATAATGCTATCTATTGATTCCACCATGAATTTATTGTTCTTAGATTGAAAACTATTTAGTGGAAAATTCATTATTAGATCGTGCTAATAGTAGTTGCAAAAAAATATTTTAGAATTTGGATTCGGTCTTCAAGTTTCGTTGAGATGAGCTTTTAATCTTGTTTATTATTTAATAAGTAAATATTTGGCAATAAATTCTTCATGTGATGATAGAGTAAGATCGTACTAATAGAAAAATACGTAATGTGTTGAATTGCTTAATTACAGGAGTTAGATTTGATGATCGTAAAACCGTAAGGCATAGAAATCGTAATATGAGATACCCATTTCTAATATGAAATAACCTATGTCATAGTTAAAATCGTTACTGAAGTATAAAGTTATTGTACAATAATAAAAAAGACAAAATCGAAAAAAACAATCGAGTGCCTGTTTCTGCGATGCTCGGTTCCAACTACCTAAAGACGAGTCAGATAAGATATATACAATGTATCGTATACTCATTTTGCACTGCCTGTGTTTATTTGTATTTTAGAAACATTAAATGAGATAATAAAACGCAAAATATATCAGTATTGCAATTAAATAAAGTTTTTTAATTGCAATATTGATATATTTTGTTTTATTATCTCAGGAGATCTCATATTAGGAGCACAATTTTCCGACTTTGCGATTTGCTCACTTTTTACATTTCTTTAATTTATAAAAAACAATAAAATTTGAATTAAATTCTACATAATATTATCTTAAAGCTTATTAAATTCCCTTCAAAATGACTTATTATTTTTTTAAATTCTGCTCATAGATTTCTAGCATTTATCCAAAATAAACTCGGCCTCATAAAAGGGGCCTTACCTGTATATATATTTACCTGTATATATATTTACATATATATTTAATAATTATTTGATAATTGTGCAATTCAATGCATCAAATTTATAATAATCTTAATTAGAAAGAGTTTCCCAAGATCATTAATATCATTGCTAAAATATTAACGTCCAGTGTGAAGTACTTACATATTTTCTATTACTTCATGTCTGTTTTTAGACACTCTTAGTCATATTCTCTCATGATTAATTTAGATAATTATTTGATATATCCTAACGCTATTTTAAAAAATTGCTGTTTGTGTATCATGTGGAAAGAAAGTGAAAAATTAACCTGAGAAATTAACGGAAAATACACAAGTGTAGGAAAAGTCGGAACAACAGATTTGTGCAAGATAAGAGTAAAAGAAGGAAATGAAAATAAAGAAAGCACAAAAAAAACAAAATAAAGAAAGAAAAAATATTAAAAAATGAAAAAATTAAGTTATGAAGAGAAAAATAAAGCAACATAAAATGAAAAAGAAAATAATAGTGAAGATAAAATAAAGACAATGAAACAAAGTATATAACAAAGAAAGAAAAAAATAAAGACAATAAAACAAAGAAGATAAAAAAAGGAAAAAAAAAATAAAAGATTACGAAGAAAAAGTATGTCTGTGCAAAGATGAAGAGAAACGGAAAAGATGAAGAAAAAAAATGAATACAGAAAAAGATGAAGAAAAGAAGAAAATGAAGAAAATAAAACAAGAGAAAAAGGATATGCAGATTTATACTTATAGAAAGGAAACTATCACAGAATACTTACTCAGGTCGTTCGAGGTATTTTATAGAGATGCGATTTCCGAGGTTGTTCCATTTTTCATCGCTGCCGTCTCTCAGACAAAAATAGACGATCGTAATCTTCGCATCCGGAACTGTCCGGAATCTGTAGATTGCGCGAGTGCCCGTTGACGATGTCCATACTGCGTCCAAAGTGTTGTTCGCGTTGTGCGGGCAATCGCGACTCGACAGCGACCATCGCAGCTCGAGATCGCGATCGAGACCGGTGCCGAGGAACTCGACGTGGGGAACTTGACGATCATCGGAACTTGATGTCGCGGAATTTTTGGCACCGAATGGCAGTGCCAATTCGGAAATGATCGTCACCGAATTCACCGTAAGCTGAACCACGCGCGGTAGAACGTCATCGTGACGAACGGCATCGGCGACTATCACCACATCCGTCGCTGTCGTTGTCAACGGTATTGATGTCGGCACACCGGCATTCGCTAGCTGGACGACGTAAACGGGAACGAAGAGTAAAAGAATCGTTGCCGGCGCGAATCGCGAACGGCCGACATACTGCGCCATCATACGACTACTGTGACTCCACTGACAACTTCACTCAGCTCGAGGCGAGAGCTAATAGTTGTATTTATAATGCGCCACCGCGCGGCGCGCGGCTGATGCGCGCGCACGTGTCTCTTCGATCATTCGATCATTTCTTTATCTGCGCACCTTGCCACTTCAGCACCTGAAGCACTGAAGTACAGTATATACAGTAGCGCAATTCTCCTGATTTTATGTTTCCCAAAATGGAGTGCGCATGCGCGAAATAAGTAAGTTGCCCAGTAACACCATCTAAACTTCTATCTCTTCCTTTTTCCGTTCTCTCTTCAGAACCATTTAAATACTGTTTCCTTTTAATGATTTAAGTACGTTGTTTGTTTTCCAATTGGAAATTGCTTTCGTTTTAGCTAGAAAATCTGCATTTTGTGTAATGCAATTCTAATAAAATTTATTAAAACGCAAGCGATCTAGCAGGAAAACAAACATCGTGTGCTGCAGTCGTTAATTAAAATATTTTTATATTTTATCAGTATAATATTTATATCATATAACATTTATATAATTTTATATCTTCTTATTTTTGTATTTTTTTTATTTTGCAATGCATTACAATTATAAATCTATTTCTTTTAATTTTACTATATTTAAATTAAGTTTTGATTTACGCACGGCCGAGAGAGAGAGAGAGAGCGAGAGAGAGAGAGAGAGAGAGAGAGAGAGAGAGAGAGAGAGAGAGAGAGAGCGCGGAAAAATAAAGAGAAGAGCAACTGAGAAAGAAATTCAGATGGCACTATTGGGAACTTACTTACTTCGCGTATGCGCATTTTGCGAAATATTAACATCAAAAATGCCAACAGAGAGTTGCGTTATATACTGTGACTGAAGGATGCGTTCCATTAAAGTCCCTCTAATAAAGGGCCTTAAACACAATGGCCCATATTCAGAACGCGCTTACAATGATTGTTTTCCAGCTAGGACACAGAGACATTACACTGTGTTCAACTGCATAAAGTACTTGTTGGAACGCAATTTAGTTTCATAATGTAACACCAGAATGCATTGCAGTCTTCCATTCTACTCATATCCATAGTCCTTTCTTGAGGATTGAGAATTCCTTGATAATTAGTTCTTATTTTTAATTCTTTGTTGAATCTAAATGTAGAAACTAATCATATTAAAGAATCACTGCATAATCGCTAACTTAATTTTCTCTGCTGAAAGCAGTCAAATTTAAACCAACAAAACAGGAAATAAATTTCAATTTATCAGAAACCATGAGTGCTTTCCATTTAATGACACAAGTATCATTTTATTTTTGTTACTCTCTGAAGGATAAAACGATACTTGTATCATTAAATGGAAAGCATCTCAAATATACTAGAATAGATGCTTTCTAATAGATTAAAATCTCTTTGTTTCCGACTTCAAAGTCGGCCGGTCCTGGGAATATTTTAGTGACTATTAATAAGGGGAGAGAAAAGGAGGAGAGTCCGATAATTAAAAAAACGATGATATTATCGACAATTAATACAAATTTACGATTATATTATAGTTGCAGTCAAATGCTTTAAAATGTTTGGTTGACTCTAATTAAAAAAAAGAATTTTACAAATTTCCTTAAAATTACTTTAAATAAAACATCGTATACGAAAAAATATATATACTCAGTATATAAA